ACCTTGACCCGAACACAAAAACGGAAGCCGTCTCAAATTTCAACACTTTGATTTATGAGATATATGTCTCCCTTGGATGCCTCAAAATTTCCCCCATTTATATACTAGTCGTCTATTTTTCCCTTACATATAATAGAGTTCAAACATGATGCCCCTATACATTAAATCTACCCAACTGAATTGGTGTTATTACAGTAAGAAACTGTTGCTTGTAGAAATAAAAGCCTACAAAGAAGACTTTCTGTCAACACCGCGCGATAAGTTCAGCAAAATTCAATTTTTATTACCTCAAACATGTCTGTCAAATGTGATATTTTGCCCAATACTTTGAATTACGTTTCCCACTTGAGAACCGCATTGTGAGATATCATATATTCATATTATATTTTTATTTATTACCTCCAACATGTCTGCCAAATGCGTTTTAATATATTTTCCCAAATACTTTAAATTGCGTTTCCCGACATGAGAACCGCAACGTGAGATATCATATATTCATATTATATTTTTATTTATTACGTCCAACATGTCTGTCAAATGCGTTTAAATATATTAACGTCGAACATGTCTGTCAAAAGTGTTCAAATATATATTTTGCCAAATACTTTGAATTACGTTTCCCACAAGAGAACCGCAATGTTAGATATAACATTACATTTTTATACACATACTATAGTTGGCTAAAGTGTATGTAAGTAATAATAAAATATAGCAATGTAATATCTAATATAAGCATCCTACACCGAATGACACCCAGCGACCATCATACACCATCTGTACCATCTTCACCACCTGACAGCTCTAGCTTCCCTGTATAACCACACTACACCATCATACACCATCGGACAACCATCTGACAAACTTCGACCATCATACACCACCATACACCATCTGACAACCATCTGACACATTTCGACCATCATATACCATCTGACAACCATCCAACACATTTCGACCATCATACACCATCTTCACCATCTGACAACCCTTCCCTGTATAACCACCTACACCATCATACACCATCTGAAAACCATCTGACACACTTCGACCATCATACACCATCTGACAACCATCTGACATACTTCGACCATCATACACCATCTGTACCATCTTCACCATCTGACAACCCTTCCCTCTATAACCACCCTATACCATCATAACCATCCGACAACCATCTGACACACTTTGACCATCATACACCATCTTCACCATCTGACAACCCTTCCTTGTATAACCACCCTACACCATCATACACCATCTGACAACCATCTGACACACTTCGACCACCATACACCATCTGACAATCATCTGACACATTTCGACCATCATACACCATCATACACCATCTGACAACCATCTGACACACTTCAACCATCATACACCACCGTACACCATCTTCACCATCAGATGCCTGTATTGGACATTACTCAATAATAATTAACCCATTTGTCAAAATAATCTTCATTTCATCACCCTTAAACCAGTATATTATATTTATAGTCTGTATAAAAAGTTATAATATAGCATTTGTAAATTCTGAACGCTGATTGGCTAAGAGCTGTGTTGATATAACTCAATGTCAACACTGAAACGTCGGAAAATTTCTTTGTTTATATTTCTTTGTGCTATATTATAAAACAAATATAACTTTTTTCCGTATTGATATATAGTTATATCAACACAAGTGGAAATTGGGAAAACGAGAAATTGTGTGGAAACATGACACCCACACTCGTGGAAATTGGGAAAACTCAAAATCCACTTGTGTTGATATAACTGTATATCAACACAGAAAATGTTTTATATTTGTTAAGTGTAAAATATGACTTTTTCACCATGCACACTTTTTTAAATGTACATTCTTCTTGTGAGTGGTGATCCACTTGAACAGTGAGCGTAAGTCAGAATTGGACAAAAGACTGTCTTGAAACCCTTGAAAATGACTTAGGTCTCTTTTTTCTTGGAACATTAATGCATTTTGATCAAGTAATTCTTTGACAATTTTTTGAAGATCAGCAGCAACAGAGCGACAATAATGTTTCCCTGATCAACGTGTCACACCACATAAGGTATCAAAATTGGACAAAATACTCTTGTTAACTGCAAGTGCATCACAGTACCGATCAATTGCTCTCTTGTTTAAGCCATTAGGACCCAAATTTCGAACCAAGATCTTAATAAGTCAGTTAAAATGCTCTAGTGCCAAGTCTAATGGAATATTTCCACCAGGACCAGATTTCGTCTTGTAGAATCGGTTCCATATAAGACGATGTGCAGCATGTGGGGAAAGGGTACTGTTTATCTGGCATAACAAATAAAATGCCTCCAATGCATATTTCCTGCTACTTGCACCATCTTGTACCAGGTATAGCAGGATAAATTTCCAACACCGCACCACTCGCTGCCCATCTCCTTCTGATATGGCGTCATAAAAGTTGGCTAGAAGCATTCCAACTTCCAAAAAGGATGACTGGTATTTAAACATATCATCGGTGCTTTTTGCAACATTCTGCGAACTATTTGCAGATGGTTTGCTATAATGTTGTTCTGCCACAAAACTACTGTGTGTCTTTTCATGATCCCTTCGTCTTTTCCCATCATGTTTAAACGATTTCTGGCAACCAGGAAATCTGCATGGAAACCTTTCACCTTCTTTAACGTTTTCACTTTTTTCTGCATCTTGGGCCTCACAAGTTTTCTCGAGGATAGTTTCAACTTTATCCTTACGCAGAATGTAAGTGTCCACAACTTTACAGGCCAGTGAATTTAAACAGTCCACCTTGGCTTGTTTGGACATGCTACCCAGGTCTTCATAAGTGCCTCTTGAAGGAGTCTGGCACATTCTGCCAATTCCAAGCTCAATCATAGTGGCTGCAATAATTCTTGCCTCTAACTCAAGCATAAAAAACTTCTTGCATGCACTGACATTCTTGGATACATCAGCGCGCACATTTCTCCAATTAATCAGATTCCTGTCACTAAACAGGGTGCACTTGTTTTGTGGAGCACCAGGATTGTAGACATGATTAAATATATACTACAGAAATTATTATACCTGTGATTAGTTGGTTGGTTGGTTGTACATAATATTGAGTTTATTTTCACAATACCATGTACTGTATGGTTGACCAACCATAAAATATAGAGAAGGTCAGGGGGCACGTGCCCCCTTCCCCAATTTTTTCGAGTGACCAAAAGTGCCCTTTTTGTGATGAAAAGTGCCATTTTTTGTACAAGCTAATTTCGCTGTAAATACTAAATTAACATCAAAGGTGCCCTTTTTGCGGCCAGGCATACTTTCCAAGCCTAACCGGTGTGGATATACACTCAGAGTAACATCACAAGCATGAAAGAAAAATGTTTAATTTAAATTAAGCATTATTCAAGTATGCATAAGATATAAAATGGGTCAGCTTATTGCAGAGCAACGAATATTTAAAAGTTATGGCTAATTTGAATTTGAAAGGGTGTACATTTTTTTGATACACCCTGTATGCCATTAACTATGGACCAACCACAATTAGCAGTTTTACATTTTATTTGAGATTATGTTGCTACTAACCTCAAGGAATTTCATGCCTCCATGGAAATCTGCAATTTCAAAGTGAAGACCTTCATGTTGTTCTTCAGCAGTGAAGCCATTAGCCACTTCAAAAAGACCATTTACCCCTCTTTCAACAGTAAGCTGGTCACCAACAAACACCTTGCTCTACATAGTGGGTCTTGGAAACATCAAAATAGTCGGGAACATACTCTTGAAGTTTGTCTAAGACGTTTTGCATCCCATCTGCTTCGTTTTCATTTTCATATGTAATGCCAAGCAAAGTCTGAAAGAAAATAACATAATGCATATAAAAATTGCTCCAAATAAATAGCAAATTATTTAGTGGATCTTTTGGGGAGGTTAAAATATTACTTTCAATGTCAGTTTTAGTATTTTGATTATTTTAATCTAAAAGATAATGTACAATGACCCAACTTACTGTATCAGTTGCTTGTTTCATTTCCTTGGAATACTGATGTTGTATGTGTTTGGATGCGACATCTTTTAAGTGATTCAAACATGGAAGGGATGTGGTGATGATTCTACCAACCAAGTCACCACAGTTTTGTCGCTGCTTTTTGTGATCAAACTGGCTAGGACAAAAGGTAGCATTTTCCAACGTTTTCAGTTCACAAATTGGTTGGGCATCAGAAAGGTGTGAGCCAGAAACCCTGTTTTCTGTTGACATCAATGAACAATAATGAGCATCCAAATTTTGATGCTCTTCTGTCATATCGTGCATTGGAATATGGATATCAACGTTGTCCAATGTTAATTTTCTGCCATGATCAGGATCAACAGTAGAGAATTTGATGACCTCATCAGTTGACATAGGTTTGGTTTCTTGTTTGAGTTTTTCAACCTTTTCAGCTAGTGTGAATAAACAAAGATAAATCAATTTTTACAATATAAGGCCATATCTAATTCCGGCATGGCACCTCTAACAACACTTACCATTGTGATCCTTTTCCTTCTGTACATCATCATCGACAATTACCTCTCACCTTTGAAAACATGAGATGGGCTCCACTTGTGCTTCCAAACAATGACCATCAGCAACATCGTCCATCAGCTTTTGCAGTGAGTGTACAATTTTCTTTCCAGCTTCTTGGTAATTGCCAGTATCATTTTGATCTGCGCTATCCTAAAACATATAAATATATGCAGGGATGGATCCAGCATGATCTGGTTGGGGGGTGCTCTGGTGCCGACTGCCGACTTGTGTCGATCATGTGTGCCGCCCGCCCATCAACTACTGTATTTGAATTGTAATTGTTGTTCACAGTTAACTTATTATCATGTTATTACTCAAATTACTGTATCTCATTTTGTGTTATGATGCTTGTGATATTATTCTGAGTGCATATCCACACCGGGCAAGCTTGAAAAATATGCCTGGCCACGGTGGGATTCGAACCTACAACCTTTGGAATACTATCCCAATGCTCTGCCAACTGAGCTATGCGGTCAGGTCGGTTCGAGTATGTGACATTTCGGAACTGACTCTAGTTCCTTCTTTATCAGTGTAAACTAGACTCAGTTCCGAAATATCACATACTCGAACCGACCTGACCGCGTAGCTCAGTTGGCAAAGCATTGGGCTAGTATTCCAAAGGTCGTAGGTTCGAAACCCCCCTGTAGCCAGGCATTTTTTCAAGCTTGCCCGGTGTGGATATGCACTCAGAGTAACATCACAAGCATCATATTCACCCGAGTACACTACACCAACACAGAATTATCATTTTGTTTTTTTTGATTTATCATAAAAAATAGCACCCCCTGGCCATGGCTAGGGGGGTGCACCCCCCCCC